TCCGGCCCCGTAAACCAACAAGACTCTGATAATTGGCGGATGTTACAGCCGCGCGACACAACATCTGCCGGGTTGGATTGGGTAGGAACGTGTCTCCATTGCCCATTTGCGGTAATATCTTGAATTTCCGCTACTCGATTGCCAACGAATGCAGACAGGGTTGATGAGTGCTGCTTCAACCAATGTAATACAATCTGTGAATCAGTCCAAAAAAACGTTTCACCCTTAAATTGCGCAAATATTGGTTGGACCTTCTGATACAGTTTGGCAAGAAGTAAGGCACCACAGAGTTCTAGTTTAGGTAACGACTTCCGCTTTATAGGTGCCACACGGGATTTTGCAGCGAATAGCCTGACCGTCACCTTACCTGATGTGTTTTGTGATCGGAGAAATATACAGCAACCATATGCGCGTATTGAAGCGTCACAGAAACCGTGTACATCAACCTGTTGATAGTTTATGGATAGGCAGTATCTCGGCACCTTAACCGATGAAAGCGTTGTAAGATCTTGAATAAATGTTTTCCAAGCTGAGTGAAGATTTTGAGGGACTGACTCGTCCCAGTCCACACGCAAAAGCCACAATTCTTGCATCATAATTTTTGCTACGAGTATGATCGGTGCTAGTAATCCAAGCGGGTCGAATAATGAAGACGCAAGGGATAAAATGGTGCGTTTTGTTACAATTTGACCTGGTTGCGCATTGAACGAAAATAGGAAAACATCTTGCATTTGGTGCCACTTGATGCCTAGAGCGCTGGTGACGGTATCTGTATCAAGATTCAAACTCTTTGTTGTAGTATCGCTGATGAAGTCATGATGGTTTGAATGCCATTTGTCAAGATCGAAGCAACCCTTCTGTAGAATGGCCGTTAACTGATGTCTGATATTGGTGAGTTGATCAATGGAATCTGCTCCACCTAAGAAGTCGTCGACAAAAAACGATGATTTAATGAGTGCAGCGCCTATTGGGTATTGTGTTTCAAATTTGTCCGCCAAATACTGCAAACTCCTGGTTGCTAGGAAAGGTGCTGATGCAGTACCATAAGTGACTGTATTCAACTCGTAAGTACTAACAGGATCGGACTCCGTATCTCGCCAAAAAATATATTGGAATTTTCGATCTGGTTCATCTATCAGTATCTGTCGGTACATCTTAACAATGTCAGCCGTCAAGGCATATCGGTGCAAACGAAATTGAAGTAGCAACAAATATAACTCCGGCTGAATTGTCGGGCCGACCAGTAGAATATCATTTAATGAACGTTGCGAAGTTGTTGGACATGACGCATCAAAAACCACCCTCAGCTTGGTCGAAGTGCTCGACGGTTTTAAAACACAGTGATGAGGGATATAATAATGTGGTTCGTTGGGTTTCGGAGTCTCAACACGCGTCATGTGTCCGAGCTCTCGATATTGTTTCATGAATTCTTGATAGTCTTGCTTCAGTGCACGATTAGATGACAATCGCCGTTCTACAGAACAAAAACGGCGTAAGGCGATATTGTGTGTCAAACCAAGACAATCTGGCGAATCTTTGAATGGTAACCGAACGACAATTCTTCCCATCGCATTTTGGTGGACCGTTTCACGATATAATGACTCACACGCAACATGTGCTGGTGACCATGACTTTGAAGCCGGTTGCACTTCCTCTATCTTCCACATCATTTCTAATTGATCGGAGACTGTATCTTCAACTGATAATAGGCATTTTGCTGCTGGTGATGCAAATGGCTGACCCTTGTACTTGCCAGATACAATCCATCCTAATAGTGTTTTTTGAAGTACTGGAAGATTTTCACCTAGTTTGATTTGACCGACAGACAAAATATCAAAGAAACTTTCAGCTCCAAGCAAGAGATCAACGCGCTTGGATTTAAAGAATTGCTCATCGGCGAGAGGTGTATTTGGTGGAACCTTCCACGACGATATATCGATTTCAGAACTTGGTTGATATGCGATGTGATTCGTAATACCAAAGTTTAAAGCAAGTTCAAGATTTGAATGACGAGATTTGATTGATGTGAGCGTCTGATACTTTATGTTGGTCAACGAACTACCAATACTGGAAACATGCAACCGATGTTTATGTTTTGCTAAACTAAGCTTCTTTGAAAACTCCTCCGTTATGAAGTTGACCTGAGAGCATGAATCAAGCAAGGCTCTACCCACTTGATAACTTCCCGATGAATCCTTCACTAAAACCAATGCAGTAGCTAGAATTATTTGCTCGGCCGATGACATATTAAGATGGGAATGGCTGGCAACGTTGTCGTTGGGCATAGCAGCGTGTTCTGTGCGTCGTGATGATCCCGCGCTCTTAATATTCGTTGGCAATTGCGAATGATGCAAGAGAGTGTGATGTGGCTTTGCGCAAACCTTACATTTAAACGTTGATGTGCAATTAACCACATGATGGCGTGGCGATAAGCAGTTTATGCAGAGTTTTAGGCTCTTCACCTTTTCAAACCTTTGAACCACCTCCAGTGCCTTAAAACGATGACAATTCTGTATTAGGTGTTCATTGCTAGAACAAAATGAGCAAGAATTGCTGGATGTAGATGCAACAAATGCGTATTGTTTTGAGCGTCTGTTACTCTTGGAGTTAAGATTATTAGGTTTACGTTGTGATGATGACTGATTGCCGTTTCCACTGTCGAGTGATTCGAGAAACTGGCAATGCCTATCCAATAATTTTGAGCAATCTTCCCAACTGGGTAATGTGTCGAAGTTACGCGATTCATTCCATTTCCTACGTGTAATTGCGTCCGTTTTTTGCATGATTAGCGAGATAAGTAGAGCCTCACATATTTGTTTCTCTGTACCTAGCGAACAGAGTGAACCATACAAAGCGGATGCATTGTTTACCAGACTACGAAGTTGTTGGCTTGACTGACCCGATACTGCTGGTAGATCAAATAGTGTCGCGATATTTTCGGCGAAGATTAGGCTATTATTGTCATAGCGCGATTTAAGCCTATCCAGAGCCTTTGGATAGTTTTCATTCGAAATAGGAAATGCCTGTACTGTCTCTAGAGCTTGACCAGTAAGGCAATTCAGTAAGTGATTAAATTTTTCAATATTTGTGAGGTATATTTCGCGATCTATGATTTGGAGAAACGAATTAATAAAATTGTTATAATCCGAGTACTTACCACTGAATGTAGGTAATTTTAACAGTGGTAATTTTTTTACTTGAGGTGGGCATCATTGCTGTTACGTCTAGCACTGATGCATTGTGGGCCTCTTCCTGCAGTTGAGACATGATTAATACTTTGGTGGAAACGTATAGGTCTTCTAATTCATCTCTAGCTGAGTCAGTTGCATCTAATTTCTCGATCAACGTCTGAAAAGCTAAGATTTGTTTAAAATATGATTCTAAAATACCTAGTCGACATTTCAGTTCTGGTTGTGAGAGCGAATTACTCTTTCCTTTGACGAACGCCTTGATTCTTGAAATACTCGCTTTCGTCGAGGCTCGCTGTTGTTTTAGTTCTGACAGTTCTGCCGTAGTGGTTGGCTCTGCCGTTGCCATTGAAACAGTTGTAGATACTTGAGAACAGCAAAGGATTTGACGAAGTCGAAAAGTCACAATAGCAACAGTGAGCTTTCCGAAATTGAACTGCTCTTACGGTGGTTGTTGTCAGACGCGACGTTGACGAACCCGCACACTTACTGATTGGAAACAAATATTAACCAGTAATCAACAAGTAAGTTAACTTGTTGTTGTTGTTGTAATTGTTCAGCGTGACCTTGATGCGGACACGAGGTTCTATTTGGCGCTTAGCAGAACCTAAGCCGAGAACCATAGAATGCACAATAGTACACACGTACGATAGTATATAGTATATATGTACAGATGTACGATATTATTAAAGTTAGCACACTTTAGATATATAACCGTTTAGGAGCAATACTCACACGAGCACATTATGGTTACAAATTAACCAAAAACAATAAAAGCGAAAGTATGTACAATCAACAAGTAAAGATAGCTTGTTGTTGTTATTTTAACTGTCGAGCACGACCTTGATGCGGACACGAGATTCTATTTTGAGGTTAGCGGACCTAAACCGAGAACCACCAATTGCACAAGAGTATATACGTACGATAGTACATATGTAATATATATATAGATGTACGATATATTATAATGGTTAGCACACGTTAGCTATATAGCTGGTTAGAAAAAGTATTCACACGCGCACATTAATGGTTACAA